TCCAGCTCTCAACAGCAGCAACCTGGATAGTCACAGGCTGGAAAAATCTTGAGGGACTTCTGGTGGGTCCTGATACTGCAACATGCAACCGACTGGAAACTTGGGGCTAGATGGCTCTCAGCCGTGGCCACAGGTCCCCCAACAAGCTGGTGGTGATCAACTCTCTTCACAGCTCAGAGATACTAAAGATCAGGGCAGCCTGTCCAGGGAGCATCTAAGGCTCAGAGAGGGGAAGCCTCTGTCTCTATAACACACAAAAAGCGCGGGCGCGGAAAACTCTATTCAATCCAAGAGCATTAGAGTTTTCTGAACACCAAGCGTCTGGTCCCTCACCTGCCTAAACCTTTCATCTTCTTTATGTGTGTGGTTTGTATAAATGACCCCCCTTTACATCAGGCAACTGGGGCTCAGGGAGAGGCAAATGCCTGAGCAAGGCTAAGAAGCTCAGAAGTGGCTGAACTGGGTAAGGGACCGGACAGAATTCCTTTGACTTTTCTCTACTAAGTTTGGAGGTGGGAACCGTCTCACTGAAGACCAAAGACCACCAGCAGATGCCTTGGAGCCCTTGTGGGCTCAGGGGAAATGTGAGTGGGAAGTTTGAGCTTTCAGCACCCCTCGTTTCTGCAGGGACAGGTGTCCATGCAGGGTATAGGACCCTCATTGATAAGAATGGGTGTCCCCTCCCTGCCCATTGTCCCTGAAGTGAGTCAGAGGTTGGTGAGGTTGAGGTCCAAGCCCAGGTCTTCTTAACCCTGCAGCCCATGCTGGAAACTCAGACCCAGGAGTTGGCAAGTCATAATTCCCCTCCTGCCTCAGTTACTCCCAGCCTAGAGGACTCTGGTCATGTCCTGCTCTGGACATGGACACAAGGACACCTCCTCCCAGGGGCGCTATTAGGGTTGAAGAAGACCTGAACCCTGAGGAGCTGGCCTGGGTCTGCTCATTGCACAGAGGCTCTCTCTGTGACTCTCCCCTGGTCTGTGGTGACCTCCCTGAGGCTAGGGAGCAGGTGTGACCTGGCTCAGGACCTGGACAGGCAGCATAGCAGGGCTCCAGGGGACTGCGATTGGATGCTGATTGGAATCCAAGGACCTGGTCTGGCTCCATCTTCCTAGTCTCTGCTTTTCAGAAACTGGCCCAGCCCTCAGGTCTGCCTGATGCGCAGGCAAGGTGGTGGGCACCGTGGGCTCACATCTGTGTGCACATCCTCTATGCACAAGAGCCTCAGGTTCTCTGGCACCTGCTGGGTGACTCCGGGGAGAAAAGTGGTCACCAGCTCTTGCATCAGTGGGGAAGGAAGAGGGCCAGTACTTGTACCCACTTATCGCACATCACCAGTCAGGTGCTTTGCCCTTTAACTCCTGCCTCTGCTAAGTCATGGAGATTCAAAGAGAATTCCTCCCCTGGGGTTCACAGCTACTAAGTGGGAGTGGGGCGAGGAGGTGCTGAAATCCACATGATCAGAATCGTCCAGACACCTATGCGCTATTTGCTTCCCCTCTCAGCGTAGCCTGGGCTGCTGCTACTGCCCCTCACCTGCTCTCTATCTCCAAGCTGCCTGCCCTTCATGATACACCCACTTTGAGCTTCCTCACTGGTGTCCCAATCAGTCCCTCACCTGCCTTCACCTTTCAATGACTCCCCATTGCCTTAGAATAATGACCCCAGCTCCTAAGCATCCATGTGCCTATGACAAAGACCCTGGTCATTTCCCAGCCTCATTTCCTATACTCTCCACCCCACGTCACTCCTGAATTCACTGTTCTTTCTGTCCCAAGTAACAATGCCACACCTTGGCCACAAAGGTCCTTCTCACCAGCTTCACCTGGTAAGTTCATGCACTGCCCCTGAAACTCAGGTCACAGGTCACCTTCTCTGGGTGACTTCTCCTCAAAACAGAATGCTCTGGTACCTCTTCCGGGCTCGACTGCACCAGACTTTACAGATCCTTCCATCATGGCCCTGAGCACGTAGACAAACAAAATCACGTGCTGTCTTTC